AAGGGGCAGATGAACAGACATAAAATGGCACTTTTTTGCAATTACCACAGACAGGAAAAGAGGATAGTGAAGCCTACCTCCTCATATCGTTGTTTGTCTTGCTGGGCCAAGGCTTCGTACTTGGGCTTGTCGGAGCAGTCTTCCCACCGACGGCCCAATTCTTTGGCAATGTCAGCGACCTTCCACTCAGGGTGTTCCTCCTTAATTTTGCCTCTGAACTCATCACAGAAGAAGAAGAACGCGGACCAGGCACGCTTTGGCTGAGTTGGGTCCTTAGGGGCCTTCCTCTTCTTGCCTTTCTTGACACCCTCAGGCGGCACGTAGTCAACCATTTCACGGTTAAAACGCTCCTTGTCAATGGCAGACATGTCCTCAAAACGCTTCTTCTCCTTTGCTGTCATAACCTAAGTAATACAGAAAGGCATGAAATGGGAATAATCCGACAAACCTTCCAACGTTCAGCGCATTTTTTTGAGAAGTCACTGAAAACAATGTGTTCGCCGGGATGTTTCCGTTTGTGTTCTTCCCGAATCACTTGAACGAAGCAGGCGTAGGCGGACATTGGCCCCTTCGGTCGGTTCTTGTCTTTCAGTACACGGCTCATGGCTAGATGTAGGCTAGAACACGTGAAAACAGTATTAAGGTTAGCATATAGATAGGCATAGCATAGCATAGCGGAAAGCTTAAGGCAAAAGCCGGGCCTATACTGGCTTACCGCCTATGGTAGCTTCAGGCCTATTCAGACGCTTGTGAGACTAGGCTAGCCTGTATACGATTCAGCCTAGACGTGCCTTTGCCTAGCGTAGCTAGCCTTCACAATCAATCTAGCTAGGGAGTGGGCATGGGACGCGGCGACCAATCATACACAAGCAAAAACATAAAATAAGAAAAGTGAAGATCACAATGGTTTGTAAAAAGCAGCGCAAATTTGGAATTATAAATTAATAATAAACAAAATATATTCCAAACAATGCCAATAAAATGAAAAAAAAGATAGATGTGTCGTAAGATTGTTTTAATATGCTACCGTAATCGCCGCTTAAAATAACCACAAGGGTAGCTGTCCGAAAATATTTTCGGGTGCAGAAATATAAATTATTAAAACAGTTTATTGAAAATTCTTCCAATATGAGTGGCGAGCCACGGAATGCACTCTTTAAACTGTTTTATGCCACTAACGAGCGTCCCGCTGTAGTAGTTGAGGTCAAGAGTCCGAGCAAAGTCAGAAGAAAGTTCCAGTATTTGGCAGTTTCAAGTACATCTGACCCACATAATTGTCATGGAATCTTTTAGTTTCAATTGAGAAGCCGGCTGTTATCCAGATCTATATGCTGAAGTCTTCTGACAAAAAAGAGTTTAGCAAGAAACTTTTGATGAATTCCCAAGCATTGAAAATGATTGACTGTCACGATGTTTCTGCTCAGCCATCATATGAAATTGAATTAAAAACGGAAACAAAGGTGAGTGATCCCCCTTCTTCGTTTGCATGCCTGGACGATATGTTTAATATAGCTGCAGCAAATCAGTTCCAATGCAACCAAAATATTTAATTTAAAAGCGGCGTCTTGATTAATAGATTCTTTTTTGAAGTTCGTTGATACAGCAAAGAATTACGTGACCCTAATTAAATGGCTTTTATGCAGCTACCCACTTTTTTATCCCATTCACGAGTTTTGTTAAGAAAACTTAGAATTGTCAGCTTTTACGGTGTAAACTGGGTGCGACTAGAGTTCGAGGGTAAGTGGCTACCAAAAGAATCGCATATGTTTCGGCGCTGGACTACGTAAAAATTGTTGCACTTTTTTTGCTCCAAGTTTTATGTGCTATAGTATAGTTCATAAAACGAACGGCTACTTTTCTTTTTTTCTTTTCACCGAACAATATAGTCGTGGAAAGTACTCGCCGTGCGTCTAGAAGACAAAAAACGGTTCATCACGATACTGTGCAAAGCCATCGCAACGTATCAGCCACAAATATTTCGTGAACTAATGCTCAAAAACTTACCGGATGGAATCAACCTCTCATTTACTGCACCTGATGCCCTGGAAAAGGAAATAAGTAATATCGTTTTTTTATTTTGACATTACATTTTGCGCATGACTTATCAGTGCCTTCATGCATTGCCCTTTAAAGTTATGATAGGCAAACTGTATTTGTAATATTACGTACACATGCAGTTTGAAAAGTGTCTTTATCATTATTTCGAGCAAAAAGCGGCCTAATAAGCACTTTTTCCTTATGTTCTCGGAATTTTCATTGGTTTTGTTGCGACTCGTTTTACATTCGTCCTTTAGTTTCTTCCTAGAAGCCAAAGTTTACCAACTAACTCTTTTAAAAACTGCTTTCGCACAATTGCACATTTATTTTGTATTTTTCGTTTTATAATTCTGCTTTATCACGTCATTCATCCTTTTGTATGGTTAAATCAATAAGAAGCACGCTGAAGGCTCTCTGAACTTCCTGTGTTTCGAGTGTCTTCGTTAATCCCAAAGTCAGACTTGTTCAAAGGGCTGTTAAGTTGCTGTAAAACTATGGTGACAATCTGGAGTGTCACCTATACATAATATATTCGAGTGTCATCATTCTCCTCTCATGTCTTCATTCTGTACCCCGTATTGTATTGGTTAGTCTACCTTTTTTAGAAAGCTTTGCAAAATAATTTATCTTCTCATCCAACATTTTCCGGAGAGCTTTTAACTGTTGACATAAAAGCTTCCAAATAAAATATATATTTCATCAGTATTTCGCAACGGTAGAATCTGCCCTGTTTCGTGTACTCAGACGAAACCTCTTCGCGGTTGGCAAATGATCTTCGAGTTATCGCTTCAGATGGCAGCCTTCCAGTTTTCGGACATAGTTCATGAGGTTTCTTGGGAATTGTGCGTAGGGGACCCGAGAAGTCTTCTTGTTTCGCAGCTAACCTTCACTAAATGCCGTTCCACTATCCGCCACTCGTGAACTTGCCGGGTAGCCAGCAGCTAGGCTAACGGGCAACCTATCTGCAGGCCTTGGAAAGTACCCATGGACGCGACGCGATAGTTCCATTGCCACAGAGTTTCGCATGTAATGTTTGGCCTGCTAGGCTTTACGTGGTGAAGATGAAAAAAAAACTGGGGGTATTTGACCACTACCGCTTTAGGACCATCCTTCGAGTGAGGGACGCCGACTTAGTCTCAAATGAGGCAGTCCGTACTCGCTGCTACAAAATCGCAAGGATATCGCAGGCCACCCAAGTAAGGTGACTGAGGTGGTTTAGACCCGTTCTTCCTCGTCAGTCTCATGAGATGTGCTATGCTGTCCTCGATCCGGCGCCGCTGCTCACCTAGAAGCCTTGAAGAGAAGGCCAACTTAACAGC